TTCAGTACCTTCATCTGAAGATGTGGCACAACACAAAATGAGGAGAAACAGCTCCAAACATTTATTACTAACCAGAGCATGCAATGTGTGATGTATGAACCTAAGGAAATGGAAAGTTGTCAGAAGTGAAATAGCGTTAGTGAGCTGAAATGGACTGGAATTTGCCATTTTGATTCAGACAATCTCAGGATTTACTGCCGGGAACACTATATTGAACTGGAATGGCATCACATTCATAGTCAAAAGAATATTTCAAGAACTATCTTCAAGTACAATGCTGTCTGTGATAGGATAATATCCATACACCTAAAAGGAAAATCTTGGAGGAAGACTAACAACCTGCGATATGCAGATGATACAACCTTGCTTGCTGAAAGTGAAGAGGACATAAAACATTTACTGATGAAGATCAAAGAGCACAGCCTTCGGTATGGATTGCATCACTGGACCAATAAACAACATTCTTATCAATGGAGAAACGATTGAAGTTGTCAAGGACTTCATTCTTCTTGGATCAGCTATCAACACTCACGGAAGCAGCAGTCAAGAGATCAAACCATGTATTGCATTAGGCAAATCTGCTGCACAAGACCTTTTTAAAATGTTGAAGAACAAAAATGTCAGCTTGAGGACTAAGGTGCGCCTGACCGAAGTCATGGTATTTTCAATAACCTCATATGTATGTGAAAGCTGGACAGTAAATAAGGAAGCCCGTAGAAAAATTGATGCTTTTGAGTTATGGTGTTGGAGGAGAATACTGAAAGTGCCATGGGCTGCCTAAAGAACCAATAGATCCATTTTGGAAGAAGTATAGCCAGAGTGCTCCTTGGAGCCCAAGATGACCAAACTTGGTCTCTCATACTTCAGACATATTGTCAAGAGGGACCAGTCACTGGAGAAGGATATCATGTTTGGTAAGGTGGAAGGTCAGAGAAAAAGAGGAAGACCCCCCAACGAGATGGATTAGCCAAGTGGCAGCATTGATGGACTCAAGCGTGGCAACAGTGGTGAGGTTGGCCCAGGATCGGGCAGTGTTTCGTTCTGCTGTGCATAAGGTCGCTATGGGTCGGTACTGACTCGATGGCACCTAACAACAAGGAAGACTAGTTAAAACTACTTTTATTCAAATTTACATATCAGCCACTAAAGTCAGTGATGATATATTTGAAGAACTTTACCAACTTCTTTAGTCAGAACTTGATTAAACATGCAATCAAGATACAGTGGTAACTACTAGTGATTGGAATGCATAGGTTTGAAACAAAAAGGAAGGATCTGTAGTTGGAAAACATGGCTTGGTGTAGAAATGATGATGGAGACCGCATGATAGAATTGTGCAAGACCAACAACTTCTTCATTGTAAACACCTTTTTAAACAACACAAAAGGCAACTATACATATGGACTTCACCCCATGGAATACACAGGAATGAAGTTGATTACATCTGTGGGAATACAGAGTGGAAAAATTCAGTATCATCAGCCCAGACAAAGCCAGGGGCAGATCATGGAACAAAGGATCAATTACTCATAAGCTAACAAAAAATTTTAAAACTGTACAAGAGTCAAAAATATGACCTTGACTACATCCCATTTAAAAGTTGAATGATGAAGAAGTACAGACAGAATGCTCCTTGGAGGCCAGGATGGCCAAACTTCATCTCTCATACTTGGGACATATTGTCAGGAGGGACCAGTCACTGGAGAAGGATATCATGTTTGGTAAAGTGCAGGGTCAGAGAAAAAGAGGAAGACCCCCCCAGTGAGATGGATTGGCATAGTTAGAGCAGTAATGGGCTCAAGCATAGTAACGATTGTGGGGTTGGTGTGGGACTGGGCAGTGCTTTATTTTGTTATGCGTAGGGTTGTTATGAGTTGGCATCGACTCGATGACACCTAACGACAACAGTCCAATTTTAATGTCTTTCTTAACTCATGTCATAAAAATGAACTGACATGATGGCACTTAACAGCAACAACGATTCTTAATAGGCTCAAACTCTGCTTGTCAGCCTCGTCTTTCAACATTGTCAAAATCCCTGCTTAGCTTTTCTTTTACCGCTCTGGACCGGCAAGTGCTCCTGAGACAATAGTGGGACCGATTTCCAGACTCACCTCTCTAGATTTCCAATTTCTCGTGAATCTTGATTGAATCATTCTTTCCTATCATGTTAGCTCTCCATTGCCTCTGAGTTATGCTAGTTTGGTTATTTGTCTTCAGATTTCTGGATTCCTTAGTTCACATTACATGAAATTAGAAGCTCTACACATAAAACATTAAATTATAGTCTCTGATCTACAACTTATTAGTTGTTTGACCCTCCACAATTCACTTGTTACTTGAGGGTTCATTTTCTAACATGTAAGAAGAAGAATTAGAATTGGATCTCTTGTTGCTGTCCAGTCTGTCATGACACTTAGTGACAAAAGAACAAAGAAACACTCACCAGTCCTGTGTCATCCTCACAACTGACTCTCTTAGGCCCCTACAGTTCAGTTTGTACATTGTTAATACTTTTTATTATAATTCTAAGACTGGATTTTAGGAGGAGGGGTTCAATGAGAACATTTACATTAGACAGTACTATTCCTTTTTTTCTCCTATAGTAAAGAGATTCTGGACTATGGGAAGCACTCTTAAACATTGAAGTACTGCTGTGGCTCTGTAGGAAAAGCACTGGACTGCTAACAGCAAGGTTGGAAGTTCAAACCCACCAGCCACTCCCTGGCAATCTTATACAGGGTCTGTATGTGTTGGAACCATCTCAGTGGCACTTAACAACAACCAGGATTTTAAGAAAAATAGAATGAAAAAGAACTTGATAGCAAGAGATTCACTAATTTTTTTTTTTTTTTTTTTTATCATGGATGTTAGTACTGCTAGCCAAGAACCCAGTTTTATAGTATTGGCTTGTTTGAATTCAAGAAATATCAATCTGACATGCAAAGCTTAAGAAACTAATACATGAGGTTTCATAGGAGCACAAAAATGGCAGCATTTCAAGCCCCACTCAGAGAGTGTATTTGGCAAAGGTTGGTATTGATCAAAGAGTTACAGCAGTGTATAAACCTCTCCCATTGTTGTAACAAATAACATCAGAACACACAAAGAGAAACTGTCCCTACAGTTCTCTGCACCTGTCTTCTGAGAAGTCTCACCTGCTGTGGTTTTCTCCTAGTGCTCTCGTGATGTCTTTTATCATAAGATACCAAATTCTTCTTCTTTAACTTTTTATTGTGGATTGAGTGAAGGTTTTATAGGCAAGATAAACAGTGTCACAGTCAACAAATAATATACTAGTTCATCTCAATGATTGCAATCCCCTACATATAACAGTTACCCCACTTCCTCCCTGTGGTTCCTATTTCCCTTCCACCCACCTTCCCATCCCTTCTCACCCTGGTCCTTAGGAACATGTTGTCCCTTTGATTTTCAACAATTGACCATTCCATCATTCACTCAGAGCATACCTTAGTAGTGTTGTTGTTCCCCTTATATTCCTATCTACTGCTTGACTGAAAGTTGGACCATGAGGATGAGTTCCTTTTCAGACCTGAAGGGTGGTTGAGGACCATAGTCTCAGGTTCCTTCAGTGTCTTTCTGACAAGTAAGCCTGGCCTTTTAAAAGAAATAATTTTGAGTTTTGTTTCACACATTCTGCCTTTCTATCTGGGACCTTCTACTGTTATCCATTTCAGAGCAATTGGTAATGGTAGCTGGGCACCATCTAGTTCTTCTAGTTCACATGTCCCATTAGTCTGTTGGACTCATTGATTCCAAGCATCTTCAATCCCCAACGCTCTTCCTTCTTCTGCACATGGGGAGACAAATAGCTTCCCCTTAGATGGCCACTCATGAGTTTTAAGATCCCAGACACTACTCACCAAAGTAGGATATATAAGATAATCTTTGTGGACTGTGCCAATTGACCATGGTGTTCCCTGAGACTGATCTTGAGCCCCCAGGCTCAGCTACTCTTTGCTTTAGGATGTTGGATAATATCTAAGATGTTTTCATAATTTTGCCCACTGAATCCTCCACCACATACATTCACAGTTGTGTTCACACTAAGTTAAACATTCTTTCTTCTTTCAAGCTCTTGTATATCTGCTGGATATGTGTGTGTGTGTGTGTGTGTGTGTAACACTCTTCCTCCCATGCCCACTCAGCATGTGTCTGTTCATGAAGATACCAACTTCATGACTTCACTTGTCCCCACAAAGCTCTATCCATAATGTAGACTAAAGGGGAAGGAAAGGGGTTTACCAGGTAGCCCTTTCATTTCAATGTTTAGAAAACAGAGTGATATAACCACACTGTCACTAGTTGGTTTAAAACAAAGATGGGAGTGTCAATGAATGGAAATGGAACAACCAGACTGAAGTAATGTGAGTAAGAATGATGCACATTACGAAAAATGGAACCAATGTCATTGTACAATAACTCCTGTAGAAATTTTTGAACAGGAACTTATACTGCTGTGTAATCCTTCAATGAAAACACAATAGTGTATTATTTTAAAACATCAGACGGATATGGTAGAATACTAATTCTGTAGAAAAAGAGACAGAAACATTGGCCAAGGCAAAACTGTCTTCATTACCCAGGACTTTCATTGAGTGCTCTTCTATATTTCCAATTGAATATATGTTTTCACACCTACCATCGACAGCTAGGATAGCTCTAAAATAGCTCCCACATTCCATCTGGTGGATAAATGACAATACTACCATGCTCTCTCATAGATATCAGAAAAGAATGTGACTCATTCCTTTTTAATTATTTTTTTTACTCAGTGTTTCTAATGTTAACATCAATCACTGGAGTTTTCCCACATAAACAACAACAAAAAAACCAGATAACCAATGTTCAGTCAAGAGCGCTGAATTTACAAAGGAAATTAAAGACTTGCTTCTGGAGAGAACTTCAGTTGATGAAAATGATTACCATTAAAACCCCAGTACTGAAGAAGCAGGCCTGGTCCTATGTTTCTACAGACTCTATGGGGATGAAAATCGGCCATAAAACAGGATGCTCTTTGAGGGATTGTGTCGGATAAAGAAAAGGAACGGATGGTCAGCTTTGAATGTTTCCTCTGGCATCAACATGCAAAAAGTGGCAATGCCTGCTGTGGCGGCCGCTGCCTCGGTGCCCTCCTCATTCACTTCCACAAAGGACTTATGGACAACTTTTGAAATGAAAAGATCTCTGGATCCTGACATGCCAGACAGGTCAGCCTTGCTACTAGTGAAGAGATCCTGCACACCCAGGCTGGCGAGGTAGGAGTTGAGGTTGTAGCTCTCTTCCAGCTTGAATCTGGGCAAGCTGACATTGACTTCAATGAGATCCAGATTCTCACGTTTGGTCCACTCACTCAGCTTTTCCAAAGTCAGCTGTTCCTCGATCTAGAATTAGAATGAAGAAAAAGAGGAGGCGAAATCAGTCTTATGCAGTATTAATTTATAAAGTAATAAAGCATTACTGGCGTTGTTGTTATTGAGTGCCCTCGAGTTGGTTTCGACCCATAATGACCCTGTATAGCATTTTCAAGAAGCAACAGGTGAGCTTGAACTGTCAACCTTGAGATTCAAACCAACTTTACAGTCCAGCGCATTAGCCCACAGCGCCATACCAAGGCTCCAAAGCATTACTGGTTGTTGTTGTTGTTGTGTGCCTTTGAGTCACTTCCGACCCATAGTGACCCTTTACAGGGTTTCCAAGGAGCGGCTGGTGAGCTTGAACCACCGACGTAGCAATTCAAATGGCTTTGCAGTCTGGTGCATTAATCCAGAGCACCACACCAGGACTCCAAGCATTACTGGTACTAGTATTTAAATGAATGGACACAATATCAGTTGTCTAATTTGTTTCCTTCATGTTTTGTACCAAATTGTATTTTTCTTTTTTGGAGGATTTAATTCATTTCTGACAGTTGGTGATAATTGTTGATAACCGAACACAGTTATGTCCCAAGTCATCAAAGGCCCAACTATAGGGGCTTGGGACATCCATCCATTCATTCACCTATCCAGAACTTAGTAAGTCCCCAACACACGTGGAGCATTGTGATAGGCCAAGATGGCTGTGTTAGTTGATTGAGCAGCACAACGTAAAATGTAAAAGGGCTTCTTTATTCTGAACTCCCCTGGAGCTGTGAAACAAGTAAACTGCAGTGGAGCTTAGGCAATCAGTTCCAATAACAACAGCTCCCAGATAAAAATGAAAATGACAGATGATGTACTAGACCTCGGTCTTCAGCTAAAATGGGGATAGTAAGAGTGACCTCCTTATAGCATTGTTGGAAATATTAAATAAGCTAAACATCAAGGAAGGCAATCTATAATAACAGGGATGTAGCAAACAATGAGGAAGGCAAAGGAAGGCAAAAGTTCAAGGTAACTACTACTATGTAATACACTTCTGCAGGAACAGTAATCTACAAATGGCTGCATAGGTAGACATGCAAGCTAAACAGGTGTGGGGAAGGAAAGCGGTATTATACCATGAGTAGACAAGAGGACTTCAAAAAGTTCATAGAAAAATGGTATTAAAAGACAAAGGCTTTTCTACACAAACTTTTTGAAGCAACAAAGGATATTTCTATATATGTAGTTAACTGTGCTGCAAATATAACCACGAATATCCTAGCCATACTCAAACACTTTGAAGGAATGGGTCACTGTGCTTGGAGGTTCAGGATCATAGTCTTGGAAGACACCAAAATCAATAGGCACAAGGTAGTTCGCAAAGGCGATGTTCTCTATCCTACTTTGGTGAATAGCAACTGGCATCTTAAAGCTCATAAGTGGTCTGCTAAGGTGCAATGATTGGTCTCTCCCCTCTGGAGCAGAGATGAGTGAAGAAAATCAAGGAGTCAAGGAAACATTAGTCCAATGGATTAATGGACCATGTGAACAGCAGTCTCAATGACCCTGAGACCAGAAGAACTAGATGGTGCCCAGCTATCACAAACAACTGTTCTGAATGGGATCTCATTACAAGGTCCTGGATAGAGTGGGAGAAAAATGTGGAGCTACCTCAAAATTATTTTTAAAAAAGACCAGGCTTTCTGTTTAGATGGAGACTGGTCGAAGCCCCAAGATTAGGACACTTAATCACTCTCTAGTCCTGGAACTAAACTTACCCCCATGGCTCAGTCTTCAACCAAACAACTGACAGGCCTATAACAGGAACCTCCTTAAAAGTAGGGAAGTACACACTCCTTAGAATCATTAACCATTTCAGATGAATAAAGGCAGCATTTGCCCACGGACAAGTTCAGAAGGTTACGAAGGAATGGAACCAGGAAGCACAGGAAAGAAGCGGGATGAGGGATGGTTCGTTGTGGGGCACTCAATGACAGGAAACAGAATGTGTATGGATTGTAAAATGGAAAGGTGATTGGCTCTGTAAATCTTCACCGAGTTCACCATAACACGTTAATAAATTAATAAGTTAATGTCCATAAACTGTTCAGCGTAAAGTAGTATGTAAATGTGAACTATTGTTATTACCATCAAACTAAAATAAAGCCATCTGCCCCTTGTTCTATTGACATCAATCATTCTTTTCATGAAGTTAGAGACGTTCTTCGTACAATTGGAGAAAATATAAACAAGGAAATATGACTGAAAGAAGCTACACATTGATTAAATTCATACTCTGTCAATACTAACGACTAACATTCGGCCCCATCCGAATAGCAAGTTGGGTTGGAAAAAAAATAGCAGACAAGGGACACTGCAGAGAAACTGTAATCGTCACAATTTGACCTAGTTCTAGCCCTGGCAAGAGATGCCATCACTTTAAATTACATCTAGAAGAAAGCACACGTAAAGCTGATGTTGGGTAAGAGACTCAGCTCTCAAGCTAACATGATGCATTAGCCCTTTTCTATCATGTACCTTGCAGAAATTTAATTCCTGAGCTATATGAATTGTAGTAATAATGAATGACATATTGATAGAATCTTATAGTACTTGATGAAGATATATATATATATACAGCAAGTTTTTGTTTTGTTTGTTTTCCCTCAGTGAAAAAATTCTCACCCTGCCTCACGTTCCTGTAAACTTGATTCTAGAGTTCCTGTGAGATGCTGGTTACCAATGTTAAATTTAGTATAGATTTGGAGAGATTTTTAGATGTTTGCCACCACAGATGATCACTGGAAGTTGATAGGAATAAAACCTGGGGCATTTGAGCAGTATATGAAGATGGGCTGATTTCACAGGAGTCACAAAGAATTGGGACTAAGTCAGAGAAGATTAGTAAACACTGATACAGCAGCCCCAGGCGATCCCCACAGAGTGAAGGAGCGCATTACCTTCCTCAGACCTGTGGAATCATCTTCAATGTCATCTGGCAGTAGGATGACCATGCTGAGGTCCTGGTCTTCGTAGGGCAGTTCTAACACACGGCACTTCAGCTCCTGGATATACCCATAGGGATATTTCTTCTTCTGATACATCATTTTCACTTTCTTTGTGTCTTTCTGAGCAGTTGAAAAGACAGAGCACTCAAGTTAACTGAGTTCTTTTAGAACCAAGAAAGACTTTCTGGGCGCTCCCTCCCCTCACCTTATTCAGTCTGAATGTGGCATCGGTTGTGGCTTCTTTCATGAATTTCTCCTTCCAGTTCCCTTTGAAATAAATGGCGTTCACCAGCACGAGCTTGGTCATGCTGTCAACCATCCCTGAAGCCAACAGTTCTGGAATTTTCCCTAAAAAGATCAAGTGAGAAATTTTAAATTCACATATCAGAACCCCAAGTGTGAACCAAACTTTTACTAGCACTGAAATACAATTCAAATGTATACCTTTCACCTTAATTTTCCTTTGTTATGATTTCAGTTTGGAAACTTTGACCAGCATGTCAAGGTATAAACTAATTTATGAGGCCAACCTAAGGAAAGTCAGTACTTTGAAACACATATGTCCCAAAAGGCTAAAAATAGGAAAAAGTTTCCTTTCTGGATGGTGTGACAATGGTCTTTGTTCTGTGAATAGCTTTTGTTTTTCAGGAGGAAAAAAACCCCAAAACTTTCTGTCACTAGTAAGTCAACTCATCAAATCTGACAAGTGAACTCTCCCAATAAAGACTTTAGCAAGTGTACAAAGTCAGGACAGTTACTCCACTGGACGAGGGCTCTGCCCACAGGCTGAGGTTATGGGAGGCAGGTTTTCAAGCTGTGCACTGACTCACACAACATGGATGTTGGAAGAGAGACCAATTAAACTGAGAAATTGAGCCTGAACAGGAAGTCTCCACCCTAATGTGCCTCATTTGATTGGCAAATAATAAAATTTATGACTACTGATTTCATGTATCATAGTGTCTACTCCCGTAAAGATTTACACCCTCGGAAACCCTGTACAGGGTCGCTATGGGTCGGACCCGACTCGACGGCACTTAACAACAACAACAAGTCCTTTCCATATGTAAATTAAATAAATGTTCCAAAAAATCTTTGAAATGGCTGGATTTTCCCCCAAATGCTTCTACATATAATTTCAGCTGTAATTTCCAAATGTCATTTGGGAGAAATTGAAGGGAGGGGGGAATTTGGTGAATTTCCAACATTTGGGAACTGTCTAGCCAATAAGACAGCACACAGTTCTCTGACACCGCCCAACCCCCACCCCCCCCACCAGTGGACTGTGAGCATGTCTGGGGAGGGTGGTCAGGAGGGGAGGGGAAGAGAACGGAGATGATGGGATAGATGTCTTACCTTCTGTCTGACCTTTGACCCACTGGTTTATCTCCTTCCTTGCCTCCTCAGAGGCATGCTGGAAATCCACACTGGCCAATTCAGCCCCGTACATTTTAAGAGTTGATGACAAGAACTCCTATAAAGAAAAAAAGAAGAAAAAAAGGGCGTGTCACAAGAAGCTCCTGATGTTGTTAAGTGCCGTCAAGTCAGTTCCTACTCATAGTGATCCAGTATAGGGTTTCTAAGGGGCTTCTGGTGGGTTTGAACCACTGATTTTGCAGTTGGCAGTCCAGTGCTTATCCTACACCAGGACTCCTAAATAGCTTACAAATCGGGTTACTAACCTCACGGTTAGCAGTTCGAAACTACCAGTGGTTCCGTGGGAGAAACATGAGGCTTTCTGCTCCCGTAAAGACAGCCTCGAAAACCCTATGCAGGGTCGCTATGAGTCAGAACCGACTCCATGGCACATATCCACCAACAACCAACCAGCACATACAGAAATGAAGTCCTGGTGTGGCGCAGCAGGATGATGCACTGGACTGAAAGGCAGGCTTGAACCACAGGGTCAGCAGTTCAAACTCACTAGTCACTCCTATGCAGGGTCACTATGAGTCGGAACTCACTCGATGTTACTTAACAATAACATCATACAAAGATGGCTTTCTAAAACACTGAAGCACAACAGAAATTACCCTAAAAGGCTAAGTTACGTCATTCTAACCCAGCAAGTCTTCACTCTTATATCCTTAGTGCTTTATAACACTTAGAAAATCTTTTCATAAAGACTTCTGACGTTATAACATTTTCATAAGTGAGCAAATACTGACTGTACTTCAGTGTTGTTAAAGTCAATCCCAGGGCCATCTCTCCACTGCCGGGACTGGGGCACAGAACCACCACATCGCCGGGTGGATGTTGTATCTGTGCCAGGTTTCCCTTGTAAAACACACACAGCCCACAGAGATGCTGAAACTGAGTGTTTCTAAGGAGCAAGGCTGACTTGTGCGTGATGGTGCTGAAGATGCATACTGCTGGGTGCAGGTTTCCAGTATGAGTGCAGAGTACTTACAGGCAGGAAGTTGTAGGTTTTCTCTCCGTATAACCTGTTAGCAAGCTTCAGGATATAGGACGTGCCACGTTTGTTGATATCAGCATTCAGACTCTGAAATCTTGAATGGATGTCCTCAACCATATCAAAATGAAGCGTCTAGAAGAAGGAAAGCATTCTTCCCATGACCATTCATTTTGAAAGTACAAAGTGATTCTGTGGTGTTTGCTACCATCAACTTAAAATAGTATGTTTTTATTAATTAGCAATGATTTCCCAGTCCTATGCTTTATTAATGTTTCCATGGGGAACAAATAATAGACAACTTATTGCTTTGTGAGATGTCATTACTGCTTTTACATCATTTTTTGTAAAAACTATGATGCACAAATATTAGTGGTTGATATTTGTATATGTGCTTTTTCAAAGAAAAACTGAGTTGGGGTCCATACTTATATATATATAAGATATAATGTTATTATACATCAGGAACACACAAAAATTATTCCCACTGCAGAAACACAAAACAATTACACATTGCTATTTTTTTAAAATGAGCTTTTAAGTAACTCACTTATTTTAAAATAACATTTTCTAACTTAGATTTATGAAAAAAATAATTAATTTCCCCAAACCAACAAGAGGCCTTATGATTTTATGAGGACTGGGCTGTTCCTTATTCTTAAGTCACAACTAACAAAACCCCACAGCTGTACAAAGTCCATGTTATTCACTGAGATATGGAATGTTTGCATAGTTGCTATGAGCAATCCAGCAATATTTAATCTGTTTTAAAGGGTCCTCATAAAAGCAACACCAGCAACTTCTTCATCATAGTCCGTTTCCTGTGTCTCATCACTCTCAGGACTAGAAAGTTCTTTATGCCTTCAAACCTAAACCTATGGATTTAAAAGACCATTTTGATGACAGTCACGAAGAAAACCATATGATAGCAATGTTCATCGTGCTAAAATGTAACATTATATAACAGGTGTTATTTATGACTAGCATACTATCACATGCAAAGCACAAACCTCAAACACCTGGCCACGGAGATGTTGGGGTTGACAAGAAGGTTGCCAAAGGGTCTCCGGTACAAATATAAGCATTGGTGAGGCAGGGATCTCTGAGGCCACGTAACAGTACCTGGCACTCAGTAAAGATTCAAAGATGAAGGAAATGCTACGTGAGCACAGTGGTCATACCTGGTGCTCACCTGAGGTCAGCACACCTGACCTCACGATACAACTCTCAGCCCAGAAACACTGTTGTTCTTTTAAAGAGAAATACGAGGGGCTACAAAAGGCTTGTGGGAAAATGGAATGAAAAGATAATGGAATTTTCCCATTACGTTTTTGAAGCCCCTTAGTATTGTAGGAGCTTCAAGGTGTAACTTTTTATACAAACGTTAAATCAGGAGAATGGCAGCAAAGGAGGGGACAGGTTCTGTTTGGCTGACCTTGTGCAACTGTGCTGTGGTGTCACCCCGGGCCCCAAGAAGGATCATGGCCATGGCTGAGGAAATGCTGAAGGGAGAGAAGAAGATATTTTTCGCAGCATTTTTCTTGCTCAGTTCTCGGAACAGGTCCAGGCAGAAGTTGTTGTTGGCGGCGATCAGCTGCTCCATGGTCACTGGTGAGGACAAAGACCAAAGGCCTGAGTTACCACAAACCACCTAGCACACTAAGCAACACTGTAGGGTCACAGGTTCAGCCTGTGTCCATGCTCCTATTACTCAGAAGGGCAAGAGCCCTATGGTTTCCCCTTCCCCAAGGAGTGGTCCTAGGACACGGAATCAGTCCAGGGGTCTTAAAGGGCCATGAGCGGGGGCTACTTCACACATCTGTGCTATAGGGCCCCTGCATGGCTTAGTTTGGTAGCGGGATATTGCTGAATCCTTGGTTTGAGCCCTGATTCAGGAGATAAGGGAGTTTTCACCAGGAAGGCAGAGTTGCCCACTATATGGTAAAGCGAATCCAGCAAGGTAGATCCAACATCCTCATGCTTGAGACCAGAGCTGAAGCTGTTAAGTGCCAATGAGCAGGCTCCAACTCATAGCAGCCCTGCATAGGATTTCCCAGGAGCACTTGGTGCGTTTGAACTACTGACCTTGTGGTTAGCAGTCTAGTGCTGATCCTACAGCCGCACCAGGACTCCATTCTAACTCATAGTGACCCTCTGAGCCTGAAAACCTACTACCGTAAAATCTATTCCGACTCATAGACACCCCATATGACTTCTTAGGGTTTCTGACACTGTGTATCTTTAGGGGAGCAGAGAGCTTCATGTTTCTACTGGGTAGCAGCTGGTGGTTTGAACCTCAGACCTTGTGGTGAGCAGCTCAGAGCTTAACCCCTTGGCCAGCGTCTAAGCGCTTGACTGGGTTCCTCTTGGTGTCCCATGGCGTCCGGGGTGGCTAGGCACTGGCCTTTGCGTCTCAGCCCAGTGCTCACTGCCTCTTGGGTCCTGGGTTTTACCCTTAACATTAGCAAGGAGCAGGGCTTGCATGCAGTAAGTGCAATATCCACCCTGCCTGGAGTGTTTCTAGTTTTGCTGGGGCCTCCTGAGTTCCCGCCCCCCAACCCCAAAAGGAGACGCTGGCTGGACTGGCAGTTTTTAAATACTCAGGAAGAAGGGCGTTTCCGGGAGAAAGAAAACACCAGGTCCTCAGGGACGCCTAGCCAGGCACCCACTTCTCTCTGCCTGTCGCCTGTCTGGGCAGACACTAGTACCCCGGATTCAGACAGATGCACAGAGGTCGCTCTCCTGGCGCACGGCTACGGGGGTCTGCGGGGGCAAGGGGACATCGGGGTGCTGTGTGTGCCGGTGGCAGATTCGGGGATCTGCAGAGGCATGGGGGTTGCAGAGAGCTGCGGGGGGCGGTGGGGCAGCGGGGGGTCTCACGCACCGAGGACTGCGGGGCTGGGCGCACCGCCCTGGGGAGCCGTAGGCGTGTCTGGGGGCGGCCTTTACCTGGTGCGGTGGTGGAGCTGGTCGGCAGCGGGCTGAGATGCCGGAAGGCAGTGCATGCACCTTATAACTGGCAGAGGAGACCTGAGGAAGGCCTGGGGCGGGCCTGGGGCGGGCCTGCGGCGGGTCAGGGCTGGGCCTGGGCGGAGGCGGTCTCCTGACTGTTTCCTAGTCTTTGGGCTGTGATCCTTCCCAGCATCAGACCTCCCTGAGCTCTCTATGAGTAAGCCTCTGGCAAGGATCTCATAGACCATTTCTTATTAAGCAACTAAATGTCCATCCGAGAAGCCAGCTGTGTCACCTCTGGGAGGGCAAACTCTTCTCCTCCGAGTCTCATCTATATTCCAAACTCTGTAAGTAAACGTGGGGAAAAGAACATGGTTCAGAACAGCATCATGCATGTCACTTTCATGTACCAGAGTGGGCTGGGTCTCTGGTCTCCCTTCCCAGCAAAGACCACGTCAGGCAGGCCAGCTCACATAGTGTCAGAGATAGCGCTTGATGTGTGGACTGGGAGTAGACTAACCAATCCCCCCTGCCCATAATGTCATAATAAAACGATGAGGGTTGAATGGTGAAGACAATAACTACTTTTTAGGGATATTTTTGTTGTTGTTACTGTTTTCCTCTTTCAATGCTTGCTTATGTCATTTCACCAAAATGTATAATGCTTGAAGGTCTGAAGTAGTTCTGATGTCATGAAGCATCTCACCTACTTTCTTGCAAACGAACCTCAGTATATCGAAGGTAGAAAGAGTCCATTGTGTTACTAGTGTGGATCATACAGTGTGGATGGTTTTGTAGACTTTTATGACTCTAAGAACTTGTTTATGGTTAAAAGGAACAAAGACTATTGTCATCCATCTCCAAAGAAACCGAGGCCACTCTGAGAGGTGAAGCAAAGTTACAGATTTTATATTAAGGTGGCTGGCTCAGAGGAGCTAACCTCTCCAGATTCTGACTGCGGAGTGCAGGGCAGTGCCGCCTTCTATGGGGTCAGAATCTGGGAGAGGTCAGGTTTCCGACCTGTTTGAAGACAGGAGGAAAACCATAAGATTGGTTCTGCTCAGTAACCTGATTAACATTCTAGCTTGACTCCCTGGAGGAGAAGGCAGTGAATGTTTTTGCCTTTTCCTGTTCAATATCACTGCCCTGAGTAATTGTGGTGCTGTAGGGTAAGCACTTGACTATTAACCATGTGATTGGTTGTTCAAACCCTCCAGCCACTTCTCCAAAACTCTATACAGGGTCGCTGTGAGTCACAACCAAATGACAGCATTTAACAACAGCTGCAAAAATATGAATAAAAAAGGCGGGGGGGGGGGAGTTTTAACTAAGACTGTATATAGTGTTTTACAACTTATTGGAATAAAGAAGTGTTCACTGAAAACCAGTCATAGTAAGTTGGAGTGGTTTGTTCAGTCCAAATAGCCAAGACTTCTAGACTTTGGGCTTTTCTCCAAACTTCATAATTTCCCCACCATTCCACATAGAACTGGAGAATCATCTCATTAACATTCCCTAAAAGGCCCATGTGAGAAAAGTTAAGGGTGGGAAATAGTAAGCATGTAGCTGTTAAATAAAAATTTGAGACATAAACCAAACTATTTACCATATATTCCAGATAGTTGCCATATATTACTCACACAGTTCCCCCTACTGTTGTTGTTAAGTACCATTGAGTCAGTTCTGACTCATAACCCTGTCTAGGGTTTGCAAGGAGTGGCTGGTGAGTTTGAACCACCAACCTTGAGTATTAAATAAAGACTTAAGGCATAAAACATTCCTATATCAACCAAATTGACAAAAATTTTAAATTCTGACAATTCCAAGTGTTGGCAAGGATATGGAGCTGCTGGAACTCTCAGACTTCAGGTGAATTTATAAACTGGTAAGTCTGCTTTGGAAAACAGTTTAATGGTACTTGAAAATATATATACTTATTATCCAGCAATTATTCTCCTAGAGAAATGTGTTCATATTTTCACCAAGGGACATTTGCAAATCTGTTCAAGACAGCTTTGTTGGAAATAGCCCCAAACTGGATACAACACAAAGATCCAAGAGCAGTAGAATGGAAACAGAAATTGAGATATATTCATTCTATGGAGTGCAGTCTAGCAAGGAAAATGACACCTTATTATTTTTTTTAACAATATGAATGAAATTATAAAACCTAAGAGTGAAAAAGATGGAGACTTCCAACGAGATGTATCAGCACAGTCGCAGTTGTAGTGGAATTGAGCACAGCAGCCGTTGTATTCTGTCCTGCGTAGGGTTGCTATGGGCCCGAGACAACTCAATGGCACCTAGCAACAAGAACCTGATCAAAACAAGTCAAATGCAGAAGACAACATTTCAACATTTATTTTGTTAATATCAATTTCAAAAACAGGCTAACTATTCTTTCTGGGATGCAGAGTAAGAGTCTAAATGATAAAAGAAAAGCAAGGAAGTCAGACAGCTGTTATCTTTGGATTGTAGCAAGAGGCTGTGATCTGGAAGGGGGTCATGGAGGGCAGAGGCTGTGGTGGTTAGGTGCCATTGAGTCCCACCCAGAGTGATCTATGTACAACAGAAGGAAACACTGCCAGGTTCTGCACCGACCTCACAATTGTTGTTATGCTTGAGGCCATTGCTATTGGAACGTTGTCAGTTCATCTGATTGGGAGTCTTCCTCTTTTGCTTTGACTCTCCACTTTACCAAACGTGATGTCATTCTTCAGGAACCGGTCCCTTCTGATAAGATGTCCAGAGGATGAGAGGCGAAAGTCTGACCATTCTTTCTGTAAGGAGCATCTGGCTGTACTTTTCCAACACAGATTTGTTTGTTCTTCTAGCAGTCCATGGTACTTTCAATGTTCTTCCTCAACACCTTAACTCAAATGCATCAGTTCTTCTATGATCTTCTTTATTCATTGTCCAATTTTCACATGCATATGAGGCAATTGAAAATACCATGACTTGGTCAGGAGCACCTCAGTCCTCAAATGGCTGTCATTGCTCTTGAACACTTTAAAAGGGACTTTTGCAGCAGATTTGCCTCGTGCACTATTTCATTTGGTTTCTTGTTGACTGTTTCCATGAGTGTTGATTGTGGATCCAAAAAAAAATAAAGTCTTTGACAGCTTCAGTCAATTGTCTCAATTTGTTGTGATGTTATTTATTGGTCCACTTGTGAGGATGTTTTGTTTTCTTTACATTGAGATGCAATGCATACTAAAGCTGTGATGTTTGGTCTTCATAAGTATTTGAAATCCTCTACCCTTTCAACAAGCAAGGTTGTATCTTCTGCATATCACAGGTTGTTAATGAGCCTTCCTCTAGTCCTGACACTATACTCTTCTCAGATCCAACTTCTCAAGTCATTTGCTCAGTACAGATTGAATACACATGGTGAAAGAATATAGCCCTAGTGCATACCTTTCCTGATTTTAAACTATTCAGTGTCGCTTTGTTCTGTTCAAATAAAACTACCTTTTGGTCTATGTGCAGGGTCCTCATAAGCACTATCACATGCTCTGGAATGCTCATTCATTGCAATATAACCCATAGCTTGTTAGGATCCACGCAGTCAAAAACCTTTGCATAATCTACAGTACAATAAAACATCTTTCTGTTAATCTCTACTTTCAACCAAAATCCATCTGGCATTAG